AGCGGGGCGGGCAGAGCCCGGGGCGGCCCCACGCGGGAGGCAGGGGGCGGGCCGGGGCACGGGGGGGGTTAATGGGTCTCCCCGGCACAGACCCTCCTGCTCCGCCCGGCCCCGCAACGCAAGGGAGGAGCATCGGGTGAGCGCTGCCTCTGCGCATGCGAGACCTCCCCTCCCTCTCCCAACTTCGCATGCCCAGAGCCGGAAGATACAAAACTCTTCTCCGGCTTCAGCAGAGCATCCAACGGCCTTCCACTCCCGGGAGAGTCAGGAACTACATCTCCCAGCCTGCCCCGGGGAGGCTTCCGCCCTCCCCCCACCCCACACCTGTAGTGTATTAAGTTACAATCTGTACATATCAATAACCGCTACAGTCGCACATGGCTACACACACTATGGTGCATTTGCTACATCAGGGTTTATACAATAGCAATAGATGGGGAGCAGTTTAATACACTCAACCGCCTCTTCCTGCTCCCCCATCCCGGCAGTCCGCCCCTTTGTGTCGGAAGCGGGGCCATGGCCGGGGCCGGGAGCGCAGCGCGGAGGCTGCTCCAGCCCTGCAGCCCGCGGGGCGTCGCGGTGGGTCCGGGGGCAGCGCGGAGCGGGCGGCGGAGACACGGGTGGGGCGGACACGCTCCTGCCGGGAGGGGCCGGGCCCGGCTGCCTGGTTTGCCCCCTGCCCGGGTGAGTCCCTGCGGCCGGAGAGGGGCTGCCCTGGACGGCGGGGGCTGAGTGTCCCTGGCGGGACGGAGCGGAGCACCCCTGTTGCGGGGCCGAAGCGACGAAGCCCGGGAGCGGCTGGGCCGGGAGCTGCAGGAGGGGCCCGGAGCGCGGCTCGGCTGCAGAGCTCGGAGCCCAGGCTAGGCACAGGAGCGAGGGGATGAGGGAGCTGGGGGGTTGATCTCGGGTGTTAGAGCCGCGCTGTGGGGTGGGAGAAGCGGCTGATGCTGCGAACTGCGGGGCTGTTGGGAGTTTGGGGTGTGCTGGGGGGTCAGGGCTGGGGATTGGGCATTTGGGGGGGGGCTCCATGTACAGATCTGGCTCTGCGGGAGCTTTGGGGGTTGGAGCTGGGGAAAGTGGGGGACTGTCTGAAGTTGGCTGTTTGGGGTGTTGGTGAGGCCCCGGAGATGTGGGGAGCTGGCTGTTGGGCTGCACCTCTGTCACTGCAGCC